AAAGATACACATCAACGCACACGTCTTTATAAAGCGAACTACACTTTATTAAGTCTTACAGTTTAAACGTGTAAGAACTTGTGTAGTGCTGGCATTATATCAAGTAATGTTTAAAGTGTTTAAAGTTCAAAAGAATTTAACCACAATAACTTTTACTCAAATCCATTTTTATTTAAATATATAGTCATATAGTTTTCGCAACAACACGTATAATTCAAAATGGAAATGACTATTAATGCAAATGTTATTCATCACGGAGAAAATAAAGAAAACTATGATCCTTCTTCAAATACTTTTTCACGAAACGGCACTGGTAATGTTCTTCGCCCAACGCAGAAAATTCGGCAAACTCGACCACAAGTGCACGGTCGTCCTCCACTATTAGAAATTCCCGTGAATAGTTTGAGAAGAAGGAATAATGAAATAAGCGAAGTATGATGAAATTTAAATGTTTCATTTGAATGAAACATTATATATAAAGATTCTCCTATTCAATTTTTATGTAATCTATATTTTTATGAGATTAGAATTTGTCTGATCATAATGCTACAGCTACACCTCAAGTAATGAATAATCGTAGTTTAACTCAAGTTGGTTCAAATGTTGTTCGTGTTAGAAATGATTTTATTAGAAATCAACAAATTGTTGAACAAAGGAATGTTGGGAGAACATCAATTGGCCGTCGTAATATCCATACACCAATCAATGATGATATTCGACGCGATATCAGGCAAAGAGCGTCAATCAACTCTATTAACGTTAATACATCACAACTAATTCTCAATTATGGTCAATCCGCAATTTTTCACCAAGACCTTCAAATTAATAGAAATGTTAATGGTAATGAACAATCTAGTACTTTATATACTTATGGTCCTGGTAGTCAAAATGACGTTAATCATGGAAGATTAACTACTGAGTCCACTTTGTTCGAAAATGATATTATAATGGATTCAAACTCTTTATACTCTCAAGGTATGGATGTCGATGTTACAAACTTTGAAGATTCTCAAGATATGGATGTTGGTTCTTCCCATCCTCGACAAAATCCATATTTATGAACATCCGCCTGTTCTATTAATTTGGTTTTATGGTAAACTTATTATATGTTTCTATTATTTCCATGTTTTCCATTTTTCCATCTTTTCAATTGTTTCTATTGTAGCATATATTTCATGAATGCATATTAACTTTTTTTCTAAATTTTTATATGATTTAAAACTGTTTTTCTTCACAATTAGTCGAACATTTCAAACGTTTACAAATATCAAATAGAATACACAAATATCAATAGAACGAATAGAACGTATGAATCTTTATAATAGAATAGAAAACTTTATTGATTAATACCTTGTTATTAGTTAGCGTCTAAGAACTAATTATTGTTAGGACATTTGGGTTTATAAAAAAAAAATCTGTGAATGGTTCAAAGATTGGTTACTCGTTCTTG